CGATTAAATCTAACGAAGCTATCCCAGATTATGGGCCATGTATGGAATGTGATATCCCCATTTTGACAGAAGACCCGTCTAGATCGCTCGTTTTAAATGTTTGTGGTGATATGATCCATCGGACTTGTGCGAACAAAATCCATAAAGATGGAACATTACTCTGCTCATGTGGGAAGGCAGATAATAGTGATCCATCATTACCTTTCCAATACAGCATAGTCGATTATGACGGTAGAGAAAAGAGCAGTATTTCGGAATCTGAGAGACCCTCTCTTATTAATCTTAAAAACCTTGGATATAATATCCTCAAAAGTCTCGATGATGAAACTGTTGGAGATATCGATTTCCCAGAACTGGGATCATGCTCCGAATGTGGCAATGACATTTTAATGTCTCCTCTCAAAGCATTCTCATACCTCGCCTGCTGACATATTTTTCACAGACTCTGTATCGAAAAAAAACTTTTTATTGGTACTTCAAGCGCATGTCCAGCCCCCGACTGTGGAAAGAGTGTGGACATCTTAGATCAAGCTGATGACCTTGCTATCATTTCCAATCCGCCAATACCTGATCCCGTTAGCAAAGCTAACCAATCAGCTGGAATTTCACCTTTACCCGAGCTAATGGGAAGGTTTGCCCTATCTTCACCACCTATACAGGCGGGAGGGATCGAGAGTACAGCAACTCAACAGCTTAGAAGTACTTTGAGATGCGCTAAATGTTCTGAAGACCTTTCTTCGTGCCTCCCTCCTCTAGGCTTTCTTCGAATCTCCCCCAACCTCAAGGTCCTCCGAAACCGCTCGTATATTTAACCTGCATGCATATTGTCTATTACAACTGTATCGATAATCCACGAAATCCGTGCCCTATATGTCCACCAACTAATGATACGGAAACTGATGATATGGAAACTGACGACGATGAAACAGTAACCAACAATTTTGAAATCCAGGGCTCGAGTACCACGCAGAATAAACGTACTATTGAACCTGCTTCTACCAAAAAATCATCTAGCAAAAAGCAGAAGACCTCAACTAATGATGGGGAATCACCTACTCTGAAGAGGCTTATCAAGGAGTTAGCAACACCAAGTTCTGCATCGAGTACCACTGATACGCAACCCACAATCGCAGACCGAGGCAATCTTACTGATTTATATGATGCAATCGTTACGGCTGAAGACAAAAATAGAGCTACAAATCAAGAGATTATTATGCGGTATTATTCGTTTGGGGAAGAACTTGAAAATATGTTTGATAGATTCATAGAGAACGTAAGGCTCAGAGAATGCTCGTCAAAGAAGTTACAAAGCAACTCCCAAGCGATCTATCGAAAAATACTATCGAGAAAAGGATAGAAAGAACAAGAAAGATTTATGATTTATTTAGCACCATTGGGTTTGATAAGATACAACGGGTAAAGACCCCAGTGTCGCATATCTACAGATTAAGCTAGGATGATATCGATACTCTTGGAGAGAAATTTAGATAGGTTACTGCGCCACAGTCACGTGATTTTTGCTGACGGGCTGTCAGAGAATTTGAAACGCAAAAATATATATTTGATAATCCTTCCCTTTAGATTATTTTCGCCTGCCAATGGATTAGACAAAGACGTTTTACATGTGCTTATCAAATAAAGTTTTCCTATATTGGGCTTTTCTCCTTTTTTTAATCTAATGTTTTTTAATCAATGTATGCTACATTCAGAATGGATGTATGATTTGCGTGATAGTCTATAATTTTTTACAGGGCTGATCATCTCATGATTTATAGGAACTCGCCAGCTCCTGGAACACTCCTAGAACTATCGAAGAACTGGCAGGGAGCTAGGGTGATACCTGTGATACGATATACAGTACATCATATCACAAACCAATTTAGCCGAAGGCGCTGTGCATATGCATATAAATATAAAATTAGCTTAGCCCGCCCAATCGAATAAAATGAATTTGTATTTAATAGTATGTAGTCTCATTAAATCGGCTACAAATCAATAAAGTCACTATATAGCATCAAAAACTGCTATAAGTCTCTTAACCAGTAAATCCGTATAAAAATGAATCTGATATTTATTAGAGTATACTATTGCTAAAATCGCTAAAAACAGTATAAATCAATAATATTATTATAATCTGTTATAATCTAGCAAAACGCCAATATGGATTTAGATAGTAGAACCTATTCTAAGCTACATCTAGTAAGCTATGGTGATGTAAACTTTGAAGGATATAGAAATATAGTTGATGCAATATGGCCTTTAACAAAAAGACGTGATCATAAAACACCAGAAATGTGGTGCTCTCGTATCCGTGATCCATTTAGGAAAATACTTGAAGAGAATCCAAGAATCCTTTCTAAGAATGGATATATTGTAATGTGTGGAAAG